GAGCCAGGTGTTCTTTCTGAACCTACTTAGAGTGGAATCTATTTTCCTGATAATGGATAGTATGAGAGGGAGAAGTTTGGGTTTAAACATCACAGGCTTTCAGCAATTTTACTGTTAATGTATTTTTGGGGAACAAATGTGTCTTTATTTGCTGTATGTCTTTTTAGGGCATTTTCTAGACACTAAATAGTTGATTTAAAGTATCATTTTCAGTGGTTATTCTTACAAAAGCTTGTCCATGAAATATGTCACATTGCCATTTAAGATGTGGGAGGTTTGGGGTTTCCCTGGTGGCCCAGTGGTAAAGAATCTGCCTGGCAATGTAGGAGACATGAGCTTTCATCCTTGGTCCAGGAGGATCCCACATGTCATGGGATGAATCAAGCTGGTGCACCACAACTATTGAGCCTGTGCTCTAGGGCCTGGGAACCACAAATAGTGAGCCCATACATAGCAACTACTGCAGCCCGTATGCCCTAGAACCTGTGCTCCCCAACAAGAAAAGCCACATCAATGGGAAACTTGTGCATTGCAACTAGAGAGCATCCCCCACTCCCTGCAACTAGAGGAAAGGCCACACAGCAACAAAGCCACCGTATAGCCAAAAAAGAGTCAGAGGTTCCAGGAGTAAAATTTTCTATCTACCTATCTGTTTCTACCTATCTATCTACCTTGAAGTGTAGTTGATTTACAATTTCATTTTAGTTTCAGGAATATAGCTTAATGATTCAGTGCTTTTGTAGATTATATTCCATTCCATCCATGTTGTTGCAAATTGCAATATTTTATACTTTCTAAGGGTGAGTAATATTCCTTGTATGTATATCTTACATCTTCTTAAGATAGTTATCTGTTGATGGGCACTATTCTATTTCCTGGATGACTTATTGTTTCTTCTGTGTCATTTAGTTAGCTTTTCATTTCTTATAAATTGCTTCTTATCTCAAGTTGAATTCTCATTTTCATTGGTTTATCTTATATAATTTCTAACTACATGTTATAGTGATCAGTGTTTTTCTTTATAACTTTTAATTAATTTAATTAATACCTTTATTACCTCCTTTAAAAGCTCAGTACCTGGTAGACTGGTGATGCCTATTTCATCACTTCATCATTTCATCAAGGGATTTCTCTTGCTGTTTTAATGGGAGTGTTTCCTCTTCTTTTTCATTTCACTTAACTTTGTCTCTCTGAATTTAGGAGAAACAGTTCTGTATTGTGGTCTTGAAGAGGTGTTTTTATGTGTGAGTATCCCTGTGTAGACTGCATGTTTTCAATGTCTTTGGTATGCAAACTGATTTAGAAATGGATGTCCATCATGACTTCCATCAGGGTGTGTGTGCTGGCTGTTATCACCTTGATGGGGGCATTGTTGCTGCTTAAGTGTTTAAAACCCAGAAGGATGTAAGGTGGGATTCCCTTTCTGCTCCAAGCTGTTGCCACCCTATCACAAGCAGGGTCTATTCACTGCTTGCTGGAGTAGAAGCCCTGAGAGTTAGGCTTGATCAGGCTATTTTCACAGTAATTATTTTCCTTTCACCATGGATGGAGAGTACTGAAGTCAGTGAGGTGTGTGTGCTCACAGAGGTCCTATACACCACCTGTGTAGGCATGCTCATGTGCAGCCTAAGCTTATATCCTCCCCCTTGTGTGGTTGCCCCAGATATAATGTAAGTTTGTCGTGTGGAGTAGATGGGGCCAGAGTACTTGGCCAGCTGGGAGAGGGACTATTGCACACTCATCATGCTGACTTTTGAGACAATGCCTAAGTGTCAACATCGGTGGTGGTCACCTCTTCCAAACCACACTCAAGGTCTCAAGCATTCTTATCATAGCTATGGAGAAACCATAGCCTTGACTATGCAGATCTTTGTTAGCAAATTGATGCTTCTGCTTTTGAATACACTGTAAGTTTCTCATAGCTTTCTTTCCAATGAGCAAGCATCTTTTAATTTCAAGGCTGTAGTCACCATCCAAGAGAAAACAAATTCTGTCACTGCTTCCACTTTTTCCCTTCTATTTGCCATGAACTGATGGGGCTGGATGCCAAGATCTTAGGATTTTTTAACTTGAGTTTCAAGCTACCTTTTTCACTTCCCTCTTTCACCCTCATCAAAAGGTTCTTTAATTCCTCTTCACTTCCTGCCATTAGAGCAGTATCATCTGCATCATTGAGGTTATTGATATTTCTCCCAGCAATCTTGATTCCAGCTTAGGATTTATCCAGTCTGGTATTTCACATATTGTACTCTGCTTATAAGTTGAATAAGCAGGTTGACACCATACAGCTTTGTTACACTTCTTTACCAAATTTGAATCAATCAGTCGTTCCATGTCTGGTTCTAACTGTTGCTTCTTGACCTGTATGCAGGTTTCTCAGGAGGCAGGTAAGGTGGTCTGTTACTCCCATCTTTTTAATAATTTTCTACAGTGTGTTGTGATTCACACAATCAAAGGCTTTTGCATAGTCAATGAAGCAAAAGTTTTTTTTTCTGGAACTCCCTTGCTTTGTCTATTATTCAATGAATATTGGCAATTTGACCTCTGGTTTCTCTGCCTCTGCAAAACCCAGGTGTACATCTGGAAGTTCCTGGTTCATGTACTGCTGAAGCTTAGCTTGAAGGATTTTCTAGCATAAACTTACTAGCATGTGAAATGAATGCAACTGTGCAGTAGTTTGAAAATTCTTTGGCATTGTCTTTCTTTGGGATTGGAATGAAAACTGACATCTTTCAGTACTGTGGTCACTGCTGAGTTTTCCAAATTTGCTGATGTATTGAGTGCAACATTTTAACAGCATCATCTTTTCAGATTTTAAATAGCTAAGCTGGAATTCCATCACCTCCACTAGCTTTGTTCACAGTAATGCTTTTTAAGGCCCACTTGACTTCACACTCTAGAATGTCCAGCTTTAGGTGAAAGACCACATCTTCGTTGTTACCCAGATGTTTGTGACCTTTTCTGTATAGTCTTCTGTGTAATCTTGCCACTTCTTAATCTCTTCTGCTTCTGTTAGGTCCTTACCATTTCTGTCTTTTATCATGCCCATCCTGGCGTGAAATGTTCCCTTGATATCTTCAATTTTCCTGAAGAGCTCTCTAGTCTTTCCCATTCTATTATTTTCCTCTACTTCTTTGTATTATTCAATTAGGAAGGCCTTCTTTTCTCTCCTTGCTATTCTCTGGCACTCTACATTCAGTTGGGTTTATCTTTCCCTTTCTCCCTTGCCTTTTGCTTCTCTTGTTTCCACAACTATTTGTAAAGCCTCCTCAGACAACACCTTGCCTTTTTGAATTTCTTCTTCTTTTTGCTGACTGTATAGAGCTTATTCATCTTTGGCTGCAAAGAACATAACTTGATTTCAGTATTGACCATCTGGCAATGTCCTTGTGTAGAGTTGTCTCTTGGGTTGTTGGAAAGGGGTGTTTACTATGACCAGCTTGTTCTCTTGACAAAACTCTGTTAGCCTTTTCCTGCTTCATTTTGTACTCCAAGTTCAAACTTGTGTGTTAGTCCAGATTACTCTTTTGAGTTTCTACTTTTGCATTCTAATCCCCTATGATAAAAAGGACATCTCTTTTTTGGTGTTTGTTATAGAATTGGTTGTAGGTCTTCATAGAATCAGTGAACTTCAGCTTCTTTGGCATCAGTGTTTGGGGCATAGACTTGGATTATCTGAAGTTGAGTAGTTTGCCTTGGAAGCAAATTGAGATTATTCTTCATTTTTGAGGTTGCATCCAAGTACTGCACTTTGAACTCTTGTTGATTATGAGGGCTACTTTGTTCCTTCTAGGGAGGGGTTTTTGCCCACATAAGTAGATATAATGGTCATCTGAATTAAATTCACCAAACCCATTAATTTTAGCTCACTAGTTCCTAAGATGTTGATATTCAGTCTTTCCATCTTTAGCTTGACCATATCTCATTTGTCTTGATTCATGGACCTAACTTTCTGGATTCCCTTGCAATATTGTTCTTTAGAGCATCAGACTTTACTTTCACCACCAGAAACATCCACAATTGAGTGTTGCTTCTGCTTTGGCCCAGCCATCCATTCTTTCTGCAGCTGCTAGTAATAGCTCTCTTCTCTTCCCCAGCAGCATATTGGACACCTTCTGACCTGTGCGACTCATCTCCTAGTGTCACATCTTTTTGCCTTTTCATACTGTTTATGGAATTCTCTTGGGAAGAATACTGGCCTGAACTGCCATTTCCCCCTCTAGCTGACCTTATTTTGTCAGAACGCTTCACCGTGAGCCATACAGCTTGGATGGTCCTACATGACATGGCTTATAGCTTCATTTAGTTATGCAAGCCCCTTTGTGGCAACAAGACTGTGATCCAGGAAACGGGTATTAATACTACTTTTCTTAAACAATGTGTCAACTATCTAAAGAGGTTCTGTCGAAAATTCTACAGTAAATTTTCCTATAATTTCCAAAGTCTCAATGTTTCAATTTATTTTTACTATCAATTATGCCTTAGGCTAAAGAATATCATATAATGTGAATTATGGTCCTCTTGATTAATAAGACAAGAATGTGTTTCCTCACCTGTACCACTTTAATCATAAACTGTTTTCCTGGTGCACATTTTTCATAAGTGATCTCAGATTGCTTTCATTTGATTCACTGATTTTTCCTAAAATTTGTAATTTTTGTATTGTGCTCATTGTTTCTGATTATGTCAGTCATAGTGGGCCTAGGTTTAAATAAAATGTTTTTTTCTTTTTCTATATTATTTCCTGTCATGATAAAGGATTGCTTACGTATAAGTGTTGTGGGAGGGACAAGGCAATAGTGCCTTGATGAAAGAGGCAAAAGAATGATAAATACTGATCTAAAGTGCAGTTCAAAATATATTATAATGTAGTAGTATTTAACTCACTCTGTGTTCAACAAACCCAAGGAATATCACATCATATCTTCAAGTAGCTAAGTGGTGTTGTGTACAGTTTCATAAGAATATACATAGATTTAGATATGAATATAGATACAATCTGTAGATACATTCAGGTTCATTAGGAGAGAATGAAAATTCATTAAGTCCCTTTATATAGTCCCTATATATAGTACAGGTTATATATTTTCTTAGTATACACTTGAGAACTTACATTCATTATCAAAGGAGTGAAAATAATAGGTGGCTAAAAAGTTAATGAGAAAAGAGAATAAGGTCATGAAATTAAAGATTTTTGCAAATATCTCCATTTTATAATAGGAAGTAGGTAGCAGTTGATGTATTTCTAATTCCACAAACACTCTTCTGGGAAATGAGTTAAATTGGATGAAGTCAAATGTCTTGCCATAACTTTAAGAAGTGATACTGAGGCTGGATGTGCAGTAAAATGAAGAACTGTTAATGGCCTCTCAAATAAAACTAAAAGATATATCTTTTTACAGAATTCCAATTATTGAGCAATTTCTATAGCAAGGAGAAACTAAAACTTCTACATCAAAATGAAGTTAAGAATTCTGAATATCTACAAAATAATGTGGATGCTATGAGTAGACTTGCTATCGTCCTTGTTTTTACTCTCAGTATGTTAAACACTTACATTTGTTAACGTCTTCTTAGTATAATTTTAGAAGTAAAGTAATAAATTTCAATATATAAGCTTATAGTTTTATTTTCATTTAATTTTTTTGCCAGTGTTTTTCCTTGGCAAGCCATATATCTAACTCAGGTAGAAAATCCCTTGAAAGTGAAGTTTGTATTTTGTCACAAGAGGATGGGAAATTATTCATAATTTCTTATACTAGAATAAACTGGAGGAGTGCTATCTATGGGGCAAACTTGCTTGAGGTATCAGAAACAGCTAGTCTCTTTTCCCTTTCTTTCCTTTGCCAGCAAACTTCCAGTAACAAAACAGGCAACACTTTGTGATGACAAATACAGCAGTTGCCACACAGCCCAGCAGGAACCCGATCACGTCCAGAGAGTGGTACTGGAGCCAGGTGAGGTCGTGGGCGGCTGGCCTCAGGTGCTGGGCTCCTTTGTGGCGCATGACGAACTCAATCCAGAAGACTGCTCGGTCCAGGGGCTTTACAGGCTGATCATGATGAATGGCTGATAACCTCATCACATTCTCTTTGTAGCTGAAGGAAAATCAAACAGACATCGATATATAGAATGAGCTATAATTGAAAATTTGTGAAATTTTCTTGCAGATGGAAACAAAGAATGCATCACAGACTTAAAGAAAAATAGATAGTTTTCTTGTGAAGTGATTCTTGAGATCTTAGCTTAAGAGCTAGGACTTCTTAAATGTATAGCATTTCAAGATACAAAGGAAAGAAAGAAAATGGGATGGATTTGTGTAGTCTAAAGAATGGAATGAATTAAGTCCTCAAAGGAAAGAAAACAACAACAACAAAAGTCAAGATTTGTTGTTCAAAGTTTGAATTATCTAGTAAAGACCTGATATACATGTGTTAAAATACTGTCATAATCCAGAGATAGCAGGAAAGTCGATGATGAGGTTTCAAGACATGTCTAGGCAGGGCTGATCTTACTTTAGTGAAGTAGTGTTCCAAAGTGTTGAAGTGGATTGTCTGTGCTTGATTCCTGATTCTGACATTTATCTTGTTGGCTGCTTTTTTAATTCTTTTTATCCCACAGTTTTATTTGCTTTAAGTTTATTAAATTTTAAAAGCTTTGTTATTTTTAAAACTTTTATTTTTATATTGGAGGGGCCATTCATGATATAATCTATTCCTCATTTTTTCATTTTTCTATGGAATAGATAGGACTATTACCCTATCTAATTTTTTTGAGATAATTTTTTGAGATATTTTGAGAATATTGTATTGATTCTTGGAGGCATTCCTAGCATGTAGTATACTTGCAGTAAATACTTGCTAGCATTGTTGTTGTGGTTCTTGTTCTAAAAGACTCTGGAGAAGGCTCAACATTTTACTTCCAGGAACTGCAATTACATTCATTTCTACTGTTGAAATGGTAATAGACTAATAGACAAGAAAGAAGGGAGAATAAAGAGATATAGCTCAAGAACTCTAAATCACAAAGTGTTACAAGATGACACTGTAAGCACTGACAATGGAGGCAACGTCTCTCACTTTTCTGTCAAAACACAGGAGGAGTGCTGTGTTTTTGAGAGGATTGCAGTAATCTGGAAACAGTTTTGTAATTTGATAGGAATAGGCTCCAATAAAGTTACTTAATATGTGTTAAGTAACAGTATATTTGACTTTTCATTCTGTTCATGGAGTTCTCCAGGCAAGAATACTGGAGTGGTTTGCCATTCTCTTCTCCAGCATACCACTTTTTGTTATAACTCTCTGCCACAACCTGTCTGTCTTGGGTGGTCTTACACAGCATGGCTCACGGCTTCATTGAGTTCACTAGGCCCTTCTCCACAACAGAATGTAATCGATCATTTTTGTTAGCTTTCTGTGATTGTGGTTCTGTTTCTGGAAGCTGTGGGATTGTAGATGACCTTTTCATGATAGGGAATCGAAATACTAAGTAGGAAGTCAAGAGATACCAGGAGTATCGGGCAAGTTTGGTCTTGGAGTGCAAAATGAAGCAGGGCAAAGGCTAACAGAGTTTTGTCAAGAAAACACACTGGCCATAGCAAAAACATTTATCCAACAACACAAGAGACAGCTCTACATATGGAAATCACCAAATGGTCAGAATAAAAATCAGACTGATTATATTCTTTGCACCAAAAATGGAGAAGTTCTGTACTCTCAGGGGGAAAAAAAAAAAGAGAAGAAATACAAGAAGGCAATGTGGTTGTCTGAGAAGTCTTTATAAATAGCTGATAAAAGAAGAAAAGCAAAAGGCAAGGAAGAAAGGGAAAGATATACCCAACTGTATGCAGTGTTCCAGAGAATGCAAAGTTCCAGGACATTTAAGTGAACAAAGCAAAGAATCAGAGGAAAACAATAGAATGGGAAAGACTAGAAATCTCTTTAAAAAAAATTGGAGATATCAAGGGAACATTTCATGCTAGGATGGGTACAATAAAGGATAGAAATGGTAAGGACTTAACAGAAGCAGAAGAGATTAAGAAGAGGTAGCAAGAATACACAGAAGAACTATACAAAAGAATATTAATATGACCTGGATAACCACAATGGTGTAGTCACTTACCTAGAGCTTAAAAATCAACATTCAGAAAACTAAGATCGTCGCATCCTGTCCCATCACTTCAGGGTAATTAGCAAGGAAAAAAGTCGAAACGGAGACAGATATTATTTTCTTAGGCTCCCAAATCACTGGGGGTGGTGACTGCAGCCATGAAATTAAGAGATGCTTGCTCCTTGGAAGGAAAGCTATAGCAAATATAGACAGTGTATTAAAAAGCAGAGACATCACTTTGCTGACAGAGACCCATATAGCCAAAGTATGGTTTTTCCAGTAGTCATGTACAGACATGAGAGTTGAACCATGAAGAAGGCAGAACGCTGAAAAATTGATACTTTTGAATTGGAGAAGACTCCTGACAGTCACTTGAGGAGACTCAAGTGAGGAGACTCACTTGAGGAGACCAAACTACAAGAAGGCAATGTGGTTGTCTGAGAAGTCTTTATAAATAGCTGAGAAAAGAAGAAAAGCAAAAGGCAAGGAAGAAAGGGAAAGATATACCCAACCGTATGCAGTGTTCCAGAGAATGCAAAGTTCCAGGCCATTTAAGTGAACAAAGCAAAGAATCAGAGGACAACAATAGAATGTGAAAGACTAGAAATCTCTTTAAAAAAAATTGGAGCTATCGAGGGAACATTTCATGTTAGGATGGGTACAATAAAGGATAGAAATGGTAAGGACCTAACAGAAGCAGAAGAGATTAAGAAGAGGTAGCAAGAATACACAGAAGAACTATACAAAAAAATATTAATATGACCTGGATAACCACAATGGTGTAGTCACTTACCTAGAACTTAAAAATCAACATTCAGAAAATTAAGATCGTGGCATCCTGTCCCATCACTTCAGGGTAATTAGCAAGGAAAAAAGTTGAAACGGAGACAGATATTATGTTCTTAGGCCCCAAAATCACTGGGGATGGTGACTGCAGCCATGAAATTAAGAGATGCTTGCTCCTTGGAAGGAAAGCTATAGCAAATATAGACAGCGTATTAAAAAGCAGAGACATCACTTTGCTGACAAAGACCCATATAGCCAAAGTATGGTTTTTCCAGTAGTCATGTACAGACATGAGAGTTGAACCATGAAGAAGGCAGAACACGGAAAAATTGATACTTTTGAATTGGAGAAGACTCTTGACAGTCACTTGAGGAGACTCAAGTGAGGAGACTCACTTGAGGAGACCAAACTTGCAAGGAGATAAAACCAGTCGATCCTATAAGAAATCAACTCTGAATATTCATTGGAAGGACTGATGCTGAAGTTCTGGTACTTTGGCCACGTGATGCGAAGAGCCAAATCATTGGAAAAGACCATGATGCTGGGAAAGATTGAGGGCAGAAGGAGGAGCGGGCAGCAGAGGATGAGATGGTTAGACAGCATCACCAACTCAATGGACATGAGTTTGACCAAACTCCAGGAGATAGTGAAGGACAGGGAACCCTGGCGTGCTCCAGTCCATCAGGTCACAAAGAGTTGGCTACAACTTAGTGACTGAATAACTACCACAACATCGGTAACAACAGTATGTTACTAAACACAATATGTAGCAGATCATGAATATTCAGTATATAGCAGGCAATAAATCACCTTCATTTTTTGACACCAGTTATACATTATTAAGTAAAAATCAATAAAGATACTAGGTAGATGTACATTTATATAAAACCAGAAAATGAAATGTCTATTTCTTTTAAAAAAGGGAAAAATAATGTAATATTTTTGCTGTTCATTTAAATAAGCCATGAAATTAAAAGATGCTTACTCCTTGGAAGGAAAGTTATGACCAACCTAGACAGCACATTAGAAAGCAGAGACATTACTTTGTCAACAAGGTCTGTTTAGTCAAGGCTGTGGTTTTTCCAGTAGTCATGTATGGGTGTGAAAGCTGGACTATAAAGAAGGCTGAGTGCTGAAGAATTGATACTTTTGAACTGTGGTGTTGGAGTGGACTCTTGACAGTCCCTTGGACAGCAAGGAGATCCAACCAGTCCATTCTAAAGGAGATCAGTCCTGGGCGTTCATCGGAAGGACTGATGTTGAAGCTGAAACTCCAATACTTTGGCCACCTGATGCGAAGAGTTGACTCGTTGGAAAAGACCCTGATGCTGGGAGGGAATGAGGGCAGGAGGAGAAGGGGATGACAGAGGATGAGATGGTTGGATGGCATCACTGACTCAATGGACATGAGTTTGGTTAGGCTCCGGGAGTTGGTGATGGACAGGGAGGCCTGGCGTGCTACAGTTCATGGGGTTGCAAAGAATCGGACATGACTGAGTAACTGAACTGAACTGAATGCAATATCTTTGCTGTTCATTTAGGACAATAGCTGTGCTAAGATTAAATTTACATAACACTGCTTATAAAACACAGATACACATTGTGCTACTATTACTGACAAATTCTCAAAATGTTTTCTTTGTAAAGACATTATGAATAAAGGGGAAACATATATATCACATTTGTGATATTAATTTGTGTTACTGAAATTCATGTATATTCTGAAGTGATTTGGAAATAAAATATTTTTGGTTTCATAAATTTGACTTTTAAACAGTAATATCTCAAAATACCTCTTTGAATCAGACAAAAACAAGGACAATGAAAGGAATTCAGAATATACCTACCTTTGTAAATAGTATCTACATAGATATAATTGAATAGTTAGAATGGTTTAGTTGTTTACCATTTATCAGTGATAGAATCAAAATATTATTACAGACTTGCAGACATAGAGAACAATTTATTGGTTACCATAGTTGGGGGAGTAGAAATGTATGGGTGGGGGAGTAGAAATGTATGGGTGGGAAAGTAGAAGGCAAAAACTATTGAGAAGTATATAGGCTTAAGGATGCATTGTACAACACTGAAAATAGAACCAATATTTTCTACTAGTTTTAAATGGAAAATAATAGTTAAAAATTGTGTAAATTTTTAAAAGAGAACTATCCCAACTTATCACTTCCAAGTCTATTATATTTAAATTTTATAATTCTTCCAAACAAGACAAAAATAGTAACAATCAAAAAGCCTAAGAATACCCCTAAATTTATAAATAGTATTTTCACAGTTGAAACTGGCTAATCAGAAAGTAATAGCTGTTTACCATTTATCAGTGATTGGGTCTAAATATTAGCATAGAAAACTTGGAAAATATTGAAGGTAATGGGAATTTCAGATTGATTATGTCAAGGTTGTTTGCTGAAAATAAATTGTTAGAAGAGATTAAAACATTTTTGGAATTCACTTTCTGAAAGAAAGTAAAGTGGACATCTATATTTCCCTACATTAACTTCGTTCTCAATGCTTCTTAATTCTTCTATTAACATTTCAGTGATTCTTCTCATTCTAATGATTAGATCTTTCAAAATTTCTCCACTCTTTAAACCATAGACAAACCTTTCCCGTAAAGCCATGAAAAAATATTAATGTGACACTCACAATAAGTTGTTGATGACTGAATTGAGTGAATCTCACTCCTCATTGTGTTTATGTGAAGACTAATGAGTCTTCATATGAGAACTTCCCCAGAAAGAGTATCTAGTGAAAAAAATATACTCACGAAGGATTATTAATGACTTCCTTCAATGCATTGAGCAAATCTCCTGTTGACATTGTTTCCAAGTCCAATCTGACAGCTGCTCCCTTGGCCGTCATGTGAACAACGTTATGAGGTTGATCAGCAAACAAAGGAAGGCCCACCATAGGGATCCCGTGGTAGATGGCCTCATAAATGCCATTGCTTCCACCATGAGTTACAAAGGCTTTGGTTTTTGGATGACCTAGGATTGAGTGAATTTCAATAAAATTATTAACTTTAAGTCTTAGATATAAACTGAGAAAAGTGCATTATAAGGTAACTGAAGGAAACAGTGTCTTCAATAACAGATTATTACACATATGAAAGTCCTTTTAAATTCCTTTCAGAACTCAGAGAAGTAGCTGCTGCATCTGCTGAAGGGGTAAATGAAGACTTCATGAAAGAAGTGCTGAGTCACTTAGACTTTACAAATGAATCCAGGATTGGCAGATGAACAACTTGAAAGAGCATTCTGGGTAAAAAAAAAACAAAAAACAAAAAACACATATGCAGAAAAAGAGGATGGCATGTCAGAAATTATTCTCTTAAAGATATAGTGGACTCATTTAGTCTGATTAGGAATGGTGTCAGGGGAAGACAAGGATAATGGTAGAGGCACTGCAACCAGAGGAAGGAAAAGTAACCTTTTATCTTGGAGTGTTTTATCACCTCATACAAATGATTATGACTTTTTTCTTACAGAAATTGAAGAGTCACTGGTAATAAAAGGAGAGTTCTTATTTTCAGTAGCATTCAGCATACCCCTACAGAGGGGAAAAGATAGATGTGATGAAAGAATTCAGAGACAGAACAACAATCCAAGAAGTTATTGAGAAGTTCACAGTGAGAAATAATTACAGCTAAAGATTCTGGTCATAAGGGATATGACCGTGTATGACAAATGCCAATTGTTATGGGTGTGTATACTCAGTCACTCAGTCTTCTCCAACTCTTTGTGACCCCATGAACAGAAGCTCGCCAGGCTCCTCTGTTCATGGGATTTTACAGAGAAAAATATTGAATGGGTGGCCATTTCCTTCTCCAGAGGATCTTGGGGACCCATGGATAGAACCCACTTCTCCTGCATCTCTTGCATTGGCAGGCAGATTCTTTACCACTGAGCAGACTGGGAGGCCCTGTCAAGTGTCCCCATTTTCCCCCAGCATAGTAAATAGAAATAAAGCAGTAAAGTTTTCTTTTCGAGTGTTTCAATAATTCTCTATATATTCGTTTCCCATTGAAGTACTATTACTCAGCTCAGCTGTTATTCATGTTTTCAATATTTTTTTCCTGCCAAGTCTTACCAAGAAGGTCATTTTGGGGGATCCACTTAAACAGCTGAGTATTGGGCCCTAGGGTGTCTGGTTTCTTGCCATCGAATCTCCATAGAACCTGTTAAGGTAAAGGTAATACCTTATTCTATGAGTTGAATTTCAAAGTTACAGCATTAGAATTCTAAAGCAATCAGAACACATAATTACATATCTTCAATGTGACATGTAAGGAAATGAGGACATATTAAGTAATGATAACTATTAATACACTGACATAAATAGGAATATGTACATTTGATATACACATGATGGCAAAGACAAATGAGATTTTCAGTGACCAATTCAAATACTTAAAAAATTACTAGATGGATTGTTTTTAGTATAAAAAGATAGTTGTTTGTTGGTTTCAGTCACTAAGTCATATCCAACTCTTTGTGACCCCAATGGACTGTAGCCTGCTAGGCTCCTCTGTCCATGGGATAGATAGTGGCTGATTTCAAATAACCTACACACTTATTTGCTTTCTTTATATACTAGCTCTCATTTTCAAATATTCACTCATTTATTTCTTTTTGGCTGTTATGGAAGAGATTTTATCAACTTTACATATAACAAGTTATTTTATTAGAATTTCACATATTTTGATTACAAAGAGGAAAATGTGTGAATTGGCCACTTAAAAGAAATAAATATTTTTGCTTATTTATAAATTATTAATAAGCTAATTACTGTTGCCTAAAAAGTGCACTTCATTTAGATTACAATTTTTGAGCACTTCTTCCAAAAACAATGATAACTGTAAATTTTTGACATGAATCCAAGGTATTACCACTATTACTAGGTTTAGAATGCTTTACCTTTGGAAAAGAAGAGCCAGTTGGTAATTTGTGACAAAAGACTGTTGAAAAAGTTCTAAAACTGCGATGTTAAATCTTATTCAACTGATCCTGGAAACTTCAGCATTGAAGCACAAAGCATTGACTTCATTGATTAATGTGGTCTCTAGGTTCCGTCTCTAGGTCTCCTGGGCTTTCCTTGTAGCTCAGTTGGTAAAGAATCTGCCTACAATGCAGAAGACCCGGGTTTGATTCATGGGTTGGGAAGATCCCTTGGAGAAGGAAACGAAAACCCACTCCAGTATTCTTGCCTGGAGAATCTCATGGACAGTAGCCTGCCAGGCTCCTCTGTCCATGGGGTTCCAAGAGTTGGACACAACTTAGCAACTAAACCATCACCACCAGGTCCAGTGCTAAAATAGGGAACAATTTTGGAATACGAAGCAATTCTCATAAACTGGATTATAATTTGCTAGTGTGTAACTGCTACTTCCCTGGGCTTAGATGGTGGCTTAGATGGTAAAGCATCTGCCTGCAATGCGGGAGACCCGGGTTCGATCCCTGGGTTGGGAAGATCCCCTGGAGAAGGAAATGGCAATCCACTCCAGTACTCTTGACTGGAAAATTCCATGGACGAAGGAGCCTGGTAGGCTACAGTCCATGGGGTCGCAAAGAGTCGGACATGACTGAGCGACCTCACTTCACTAACTTCTACTTGCTCTGTGAATGAATGTAAGTCTTTAATTTTTCAGCAAAATTAACCATAGGCTATTATTGAAGTCTATCTGATAGCAAACATAAAGTAGTTCACAATTATACAAAGAATCAAGGGATATCTTATACATTAGAAAATAAATTGCTACTATATATTATGGAAAAGGAGGCAGCTGAACTTCTCCATGCCAGTCTTCTTTATATTTGACTGCTTCTTATATCCCTTCTCCCTCCTCAATCAGAAGGAGTAACGTGATAGTTTAGAAGCAGAGTTCAGTAAGGGCCAGACTTCACAATGCATAGGATTCACATTAAGGGCAGGATTCACACTTTCTCTTTGATCTTCCTGGCTCAGACTTTGGAAGTTCACAGTTAGCCAGGAAGGCTGATGTTCCTCTTTCTCTAAGTCACTGTGACTGGATGGGATCTAAAGGAAGCTTGGGGAGTCCTGGTCATCTTTTCTCTGAATAGTTCCCTGAAAAGCATAGTGAATATTGCTGTTTTAAAATTTAGGGGAAATAAAAGGGACCAGGATTATCTGGGGAGTACTAATTGCATGGAACTTTTCAGGCTTTTATCCCTATTACTTAACATGATTGTTCTACTATGCTTACTGTTACATTTTAACTTCTGAGAACATCTGTTATATGTACCATGTCCTCAGGAGTCCTTCAAGGAAAAGGAACAAATGTCAGGCACAATTTGCTGGTTTCTTTTCCTACCCACAATACCATTAAAATATCCAAATTCATATTGCATCTCTAAATATCATTTTGATTATAGTATCAATCTAAAATTATTATCTATCAAAGACAGTCCCTGCATGGCTATAGCACCTGCCATGTATAGTCTGGTTTACACATATATATACATATATGTATATGATGCATATATCTATATATGATGCATATATATATATATATATCTATGATGCCTATATATATATACATATATGAGATAAATTGGAGCTACCATATTAGTTACTTTTCTGGCAAAAAACCAGACCTTTTATACAGTTTTTTACAGACTCATTAAATAGTTATCCACTATTAAGTTACTGTGTGTACCTTTTGTGGTATCTGGGCAAGAGCTGATGCAATCACATTGGCTCTTTCTTCTGACATGTTACTGACCATTGACCCCAATGAAAACACCACAATACCGTGTTCTCCAGAGCTCTGCACATACTCTTCCATTTCCTGTGGGAAAAAAAAAAAAAAGTTGTTCCATCACAAAAGAGCAGCAGCATAGCAGACATTATTTAAGGGATTGATAAAGTAACTAAAGAGAGAAAATAAGATATAGTCTGAAGATATTAGAGTAGTGGCTTCTTAAAAAATATTTTAGAAGGACACACATAACATAAAATTTACTTAATCATTCCTAAATGTATAGTATAATAGTGTAAATTATATTCACACCATGCAGCCAATCTCCAGAACTTTTTCATCTGGCAAAACCGGAAGTCTATGCTCATTAAAAAACTCCGTTCCTTCTTTCTCTAGCCTCTGGCAATTTCATACTACCCTGTGTTTCTGCAAATGTAACTAGTCTGGATACTTCTTATAGGTTAAATCCTACAGTATTTGTCTTTTTCTGATTGGTTTATTTCACTCAGCATAAGGTTCATTTATTTCCTTTTAAAGATAAGCAATATTTCATCATTGTGCATATGACATTTATTTATTGTTTTGTCTCTTGATGGACACTTGGCTTGCCCAACTTCTTGGGTCCTGTGATTACAGCTTTTATTTAGATGCTGTGCAAACATTTCACACAGAGGAATTGCTGAGCTGCATAGATAGGTTTTATACTAGAAAGTGTACATTATTCTTACAGCATGCTATATAGCTAGTTTATAGACTGATTCCCTTTCCCTGCACCCCACTACATTCTTGAACATTTGCATCTTGGACTTTGATCACATATGCTAATAAATATTTAACACTAAAAAATACTTTAAAATATTTTGAGTAAACTACATTTTCAGTAATGACTGTTTTTTTTTTCTTTTCTTTTTTTAACAGACTTCATCCCTTGGAGGTACTTGGAGGGAAATGGGTCACATGAGGTCATTTCTTTTATTATGTATAATTGTGCAAAGGTGTTTGTGTATAAGCAGGAAATGAGATAGACCCAGTACACAGTGGTGACAAGGAGGTACTGTTAAATAGTATTTTACTCAGACTCTGCATCAGTTATATTGTTAATTACTAACATAGATTTTTAGAAGCTACACTGTAGGGTTTAATTCAATTGTAATTCCCTATTATTATAGGTCTACTAAATCATTTATATTCCAGGAAGATTTTTTGAGAATTATTTTAGGTTAGTCATTAGTACTTCATTTCCCTATTCAGTTCAGTGCAGTATGATCTTAGTTTTCTGAATGTTGAGCTTTAAGCCAAATTTTTACTCTCCTCTTTCACTATATAGTCAACCAATATTCAACAAGGGAAACAAGAATACCCAATGGGTAAATAACAGTCACTTCTTTATTTTCTGAGAAAATTGAATGAAAAGCAAAAAAATGAAATGAGGCTCTTATCTTACACCACTCACAAAAATAACTCAGAATGAATCAAAGATTTAAGCATAAGACCAGATACTATGACACTCCTACCTACAAGAAAACAGAGATGAAACTCCCTACATTTGATTTTGAAAATGATTTTTGATCTGATATCACAACCACAATAAAAGAAAAAAAAATCAACAAATTGGACTATGTCAAACTTAAAAGTTTCTTCATAACAAAAGAAACAAACAACAAGATGAAAATGCAACCTGCAGAATGGAACAAAAATGGTTTTGTAACCACATATTGATCAAGGAGGGTAATATCCAGAATATATACAGAACTCATACTACAAAATTCAATTAAAGAATGGGCAGATTAATAAATTGACATTTTCCAAAGAAAATGTCCAAATGGCCATCAGGTATATGAAAAGATGCTCAATACACTAATCATCAGGGAGGTGTATTTCAAAATCACAGTGAGATATTACCTAACACTTGTTAGAAAGTCTACAACTAAGAAGAGATGTGTTGTGAGAAGGTAGAGAAAAGTGTCCCACTGTCAGTGGGAATGTAAACTGTTTAGCTCTTAGAGAACACAAAATGAAAATTCCTAAAATAATTAAAAAAAGATCTTCTGTATGACCCAGCTATCCCATTTCTGGGTATGCAGCCAAAAAAATAAAAATAAAAACAGGATAGCAAAGAGATATATATGCTCCCATGTTTATTGTAGCAATATTCACAATAGGTAAGAAACAACTTATGGGTTGCGGGAAAAAAAAGAGGTTTCACACAGACACACTCAGAATGGAATGTTATTCACCCATGAGAAAGAAAGAAATCCTGCCAATTTCGATAACATAGATGGACCTTGAAAACACAATGCTAAAATTTGTGTTTTACTTCTAATCTTTATCTACTTCTATAATGAAATATGAATTATGACATATATCATGAAAATTGTAATTTTAGCTTACATTCTTTTTTAACCTTCAGGAAAATTGTGACATTTTAATACATCTTATTTTACTTATTTTATTTATTTATTTGTTTATTTTACTTATTTACTTATTTTACTTCTGAACATCTCATTATAGCTGATTTAGTGCAATTAGCATCTTTATGAAAATATAGATTTATACATACATTCATTTATATTGTTGAAGAAGGCTGTTCATTTTAGCTAGAGCCTTAAAACATACAAAAAATATTTTAGTCATCTAGCTCACCTGATTGCCAAAACTTAAATATTCTTAAAATTAAAAATTTTAACTTAAATATGTTAAATTAAATTAAATTTGCTTTAGTAAACTTTATTAAATTTATTAAATTATTTGCATTAACTTAATTTTTTAATTTAGTAAACTTTTAAAATTTATTTTTTAAAAACTGCATGGGACTTCCCTGATGGCTCAGTGTTAGAAGAATTTGCCTGCAATGCAGGAGATGCAAGTTTGACCCCTGGGTCATGAAAGTCCCCTGGAGAAGGAAATGTCAACCCACTCCAGTATTCTTGCTTGGGAAATCCCATGGACAGAGGAACTTGGTGGGCTACAGTCCATGGGCTCGCAAAAGAGTTGGACACAACTTAGTGACTAGACAGCAACAATGGGGTATCTACTTCAGCAGCTTTCTCAATAATATAATCTTGATTAGGAAAATCATCTCAATTTCAGTAAGATTCTTGGCAAACATTGGGTTAAAGATAGTATGTTATAGTAACAAAATAAGAATAATGAAGATAGTTAACATTTCTTCTGGATCATTAGATGCTACTGACATTTTGGATGTTTCAACTGTACTTACAATTTTTCCCTCAACGACAATGCGAGGTTGCTACCATTATAAGATTTAGTCTTGTCCTGTGGATTTGGGTAGACTCCGGGAGCTGATGATGGACAGGGATGCCTGGCGGGCTGTGATTCATGGGGTCACAAAGAGTCGGACACAACTGAGCGACTGAACTGAATTATCTCTATGAAGATGTTGCCTGTATCTTGGACAAACTGCTGAATATTCCCCTTTCTCACGCTCTACCCTTTACAATCCAACCCAATGACATCCTGGTTTTTTTGTTTGTTTGTTTGTTTTTTTAAGGATATGTGACCATATCTCTTTCTTATTCCTTTCAATGTTCTTGCTGGTACTCCTACTAGACGTTTCTAATGTCAATAATTATCTGTTTCCAATTCACCTCACCAGCATTATCAGCCTCTTTACTTAGCCTCTTCTTGTTTAGACTGAACTTGGACTTCTTGGAACTTTCATTCTCTATCTGCTTTTCTTTTCTATCTTCTTCTATCCCTGCCCTATCCCTTCTGTTTATTCATGACCATCTTTCAGACCTTCCTATGATTCATGCTGGGTGTTTCTTTAGCACAGTAGTCTTTTCTTATTATAAAACTTTTACACATCTTTTATAACTTCCTTGTATTCTGTCTTTCTAGGTGGAGTGTCCGGTGACAGAAACTGTCTATACTGTTTCTCTATATTAGCACTCCTCAAATAAGTTATATATATAATTATCCTATAATAGGACAATTATGCTATTATAATTGTAACTAATATTAAGTTAATATTAAAATATGCATTATATATTTACTATATTTTTGTATAATAATATAACTATAAATGTCTGATACTTCATTATGTGTTGAATAGTGAAGTCATAATTTAACATATTCCCAAAGTGCCTAGCATATTCTGTTTATTCTGTAATGTTAATAAATTTCAGATACTTGTGTTGACATAGAAATATATCAATTTCTAACTGGAAGTTCACTATATCCAGCTTCCCACATCTGACTCACTGTAATCAAACATTTTAAATAAAGAATACAGCATGATTCCTATTGAAAACACAATGTTAACAAAGAAGAACAAAGAGGAGCAGGTGACCTTAGGCAGGGGTTTGGCAGGTTTGCAGTGGAGGCCTCCAACAAATTCAACATTTGGTAGCCGTGGGCGAGGAAATGAAAAATCCCAATAGTTTCGAATGAGCCACATTTCAGCTTTCCCCATTGTCTCAACTAATGTAGTGGGCCTTCCTGAAAGTGAAAATAAAAACAAAAACAACAACAAATGTTGGATCAAATGAGAATATTTCTGTGTGTGTATATATATTGTGCTTAGTGTCTCAGTCGTGTCTGACTCTTTGCGACCCCATGGACTGCAGCACTTCAGGCTCCTCTGTCCATGGGGATTCTCCAGGCAAGAATACTGGAGTGGGTTGCCATGCCCTCCTCCAGGGGATCTTCCCAACTCAGGGATGGACCCAGGTCTCCTGCATTGCAGGGGGATTCTTTACCATCTGAGCCACCAGGGAAGCCCATGTTAGGTAAGTTAGGTAAGTTTTATAAAGGACTTTGGGTAGATGTGACTGAATATGTTTCAGTGTAACTGTTTGACAAATATGCAACATTAGATAGGATGATATGACATAATACTATTTGAAAACTGAACTACACAAGTAGAAACAATTTCTAAATGCTACCTAGATACTTGAGCTACAAATATGTGTTTAATTATCAGTATACATGTCTTCATTTACCAAGACATTTTATAAGATGTTTAGTGATTCAATTTTTTAAGTTTAAAAAAAAAGGACTTTTGTAAGTTGGTAGATAGTCACTTGCAAAAGTACTACATGCTACAAATTGTGGTATATGACTTCCTGGTATCCAGTACTAGTAAAGGGCTACAAGTTTGTACCTCACCCTGTAATTAAGTGTTTTCCTTTCATGATATTTATAAGATTGATTGATATTTTATATTTTTATTTGAATGTTTCACTTATTTGGGACAAATTCCAGTGAATTTATATTTATACAAACTCACTTTCCAAGGCTCTATAAAGATAGGACTTAATGCTACCAACTAAGCACATGACTTACCTAGTACTTCACTGTAAAACTGATTCCACTTCTTCTCATTGAATGCCTGGAACCAGAAGTCAAAATAGAGTACATATATCATATTTTTGACCCTCTCCATAAATGTCATGTGATCACTTAATTCTGAAAACATAACAGGTACATAGGATGGTGGGAATGGAAGCCTTCCACTCTTCTTTTCAACTGAAGATCCAGGTGAGGAGTACAGACTGTACATGAATGGTATTTTAAGTATCTCAGCCAGCAGCTCACCACAGGGTCCAACAGCATCTGCAAAAATGATATCAAACCTCTCTTCATGCAGTTTTGTCATAAGTTTCTTATTTGAAACAACTTCTCTACAGATCTTCATTAAAATATCAGAATATTCCCAGAATAAACTTTTCACTGTTGAAAGATGATTCCAAAAGGAATCTCTCACCGCACGCATCCATTTCCCAACAAAAAGTTTGAGAAAATCCTCATTTTCTTCTTTAATTAAAGATACAGGGAAAATCTCCAATTTGAGAGAAGATGGTTTTTTTGAACCAATGAAAGTGGTAGATGAAGGTATCAAAACAGTCACCTCATGACCCCTTGTGACAAGTTCATCCAGAATTGTCTTCATATTCATCCAATGACTATATTCCATTGGCCACACCAGCACCTTTCCACAACTTCCAGAGCTAAAGTAGCAAGTCAGTTGTAGCAGCAGCAGAAGTGAGAGCCACTTCATAGACATCTTGTTTATATGCAGTACTTTAAGCAGTTACTGCAGATTTTTTCTATTGCTCAGGCTTATATACAAAAGACATCAATCAGAAGTTAAATTGTAACTCTTATGCCTAAAGTAATTAGATTATGCATACAGTCAGCAGATGTGGAAATCAGGTGAAAGGGCAAAGTGTAGAACACTTCGAGATTATGCAGTGCAGTTTAATATGCAGGGTTAATTATGCAGTGTGTTTTATCACCACTGTCACCAATCTAAAAGTTGATGAACTTTTACATGCAAATCAATTACATTATGTAAGAAAGAAGACTAGTGTAAATCATTGTAAATGAGAGGCTCTTGTGTCTGCCGTTTCCTTGACACAGAATTAGAGAAGGGTGACATCAACAAGATGCATGGTTAGGAGGTCCCAACACTTGTATCTTTCACAAAAATAGCAAAACCAATAAATGAACAACTACAAATTACTTTGGGAAATTTCTGGACTACAATGAAGAAGCAGCAGAAACCCTGTATATTGCAAAGTCTGAGGATCACCATGTAGAAAAATGTGGAAAAGAGTTTACCTCTCCCACCCCTTCCTCTAACTCAGAGGAGCTTGGCACTGCCAGGGATCCCCTCAGAGGGATTTCAGCCCATGGGGAAAAATAGTACAGGGGAATTCCAGCAACCTCATCATCATGACCTTTGCAGCCTTTGCTTCTGAGCACTTCCACAGTGCGCACCTACACTGATTCAGCTGACAGAGCTTCCCAGGGTCCCTGCTGCTGTGTCTTTCCTGAGGCTGAAATTTCGCTGTGGTAAGACCTGATCTTGGGGTCAAGGAGTCTCCCCATCACTCTGAACCCTGCTTTCCCTGATTGAGGTGTCACAGTGCCTTACTATCTGTGCAACTGGAGTTTCTGATCTGTGCCTTGCCCTCAGGTTTGTCTTATAATAACTGTGGCCATGCTGCTGTTTATTTGGGTCTCACCCTGTTAGTCCTAGTCTTGGTTTTGACTGGCCATTACCTAGGCTGAGCTGCTGCTGTTTTATACACCATTCCTGGGTCCTGAGTCATGGCTTTAGCCTGTCATTGCTGGGGCAACAGTGCAGATACTCTGTGCCTCACCATGGGTCCTAGTCAGGGTTCTGACCCACAATTACCATGTTCATACCACTGCTTCTCTGTATCCCAGCCATGGGTCCCAAGTTGTGGCTCTGATAAGTCATTACTAGGAACATACTGCTGATGGTCTGACTTCCTCTGTGGTCAGAAGTGGAACTTTGACTCATCATCCCCAGAGTGTGCTTCCCAGGTATAGCACCTGTCCCCTGGGCCTGAGCTACTGCACAGCCCTGTCATCTCAGGGCCTTTCACTCTGATACATTCCCCTTACCTCTAAAATATATTAACAACATGTCATATGTCTAGAAATACAACTACATGCATGTTTTACATGCCTGCTTTTTATATTTGTTAAGAAAGAATAGGAGAAGATAAGTGCACTTGTGTGTGTGTGTTTGTGTGTTAATTTGTGTTAATTTGCTTCTGTAGTGTCTGACTCATTGCAACCCCATGGACTGTAGCCTGCCAGGCACTTTTGTCCATGGGATTCTTCAGGCCAGAATACTGAGTAGATTGCTATGCCCTTCTCTAGGGGACTCTTTTTGATCTAGGGATCAAGCTCATGTCTCTTATGTCTCCTCCGTTGGCAGCTGGGTTCTTTACCACTAGTACCATCTGAGAAACCTATATGCACTTATACTGTCTTATATAATTTCTTACCTTTACCAGTGCTCTTTGTTTTATCATGGTGATTAGAATTGTAGCCTGGGTTTACTTTCTTAAGCCATAGGCTTTCCTTCAGTTTTCTTCTGTAAGGTAGATTTCCCAGCAATGCATTCTTTTTGGATGGATAAGGGTAGAGGGCTATCTATATTTTGCCCTCAGTTTTGAAAGAGTGTTTCATTTGATCTCATGAGAAATGCTGGGCTGGATGAGTTAAAAGCTGGAATCAAGATAGGTGGGAGAAACATCAACAACCTCAGATATGCAGATGATACCACTCTAATGGCAGAGGCAAAGAGGAACTAAAGAGCCTCTTGATGAGGGTGAAGGAGGAGAGTGAAAAAGCCAGCTTAAAACTAAGTATTAAAAAACTAAGATCATGGCAATGGCTCCATTACTTCATGGCAAGTAGAAGGGGAAAATATGGAAGTAGTGACAGATTTCCTCTTCTTGGGCTGTAAAATCAATGCAGATGGTGACTACAGCCTTGAAATCAGATGTTTGCTTCTTGGCAGGAAAGCTATGATAAACCTAGAGGCTGTGTTAAAAAGCAGAGACATTATTCTGTTGACAAGTTCTGTATAGTCAAGGCAGTGATCTTCCCAGTGGTCACATAAGGTTGTGAGAGTTGGACCATAAAGAAGGTGGAGAGCTAAAGAATTGACGGCTTTGAACTATGGTGCTGGAGAAGACTCCTGAAAGTCCCTTGAACAGCAAGGAGATCAAACCATTAATTTTAAGGGAAATTAACTCTGAATACTTGGTGGAAGGACTGACGCTGAAGTTGAAATTCCAGTATTTTGGTCATCTGATGCAAACAGCTGATTCATTGAAAAAGTCCCTGATTCTGGAAAGATTGAGGGCAGAAGAAGAGGGTGTCAGAGGATGCGATGAGTGGGTGGCATGAAGGATGCAAAGAACATGAACTTGGGCAAACTTTGGGAGATGGTAAGGGTCAGAGAGGCCTGGTGGCTGCAGTCCATGGCATTGCAAGGGTTGGACATGACTAGGCGATTGAACAATGATGACTTTGTTTAATATAGAATTTTTGACTGACAGTTTTGACTATCAGGATTTTGACTATATCATTTCACTGCCAGAGAGCATCCACTGTTTCTCATAAGATATAAGCAGTATCTTGATATTCTCTTGAAAGGTTGAATTATTTTTCTTTAGTGCTTTAAGGTTTACTGACTTTAGCTTTCTTTTGTGTATGTTAGTGTGCTTTATTATGTACCAATATTCTGTAACCCTCTGTTCATTTTTTGTCTCTGTTCTTTGGATTATATTATCTTATTGATCTATCTTAAAGTTCTCTTGCTTTTTCATCAGCTTCTTATTCATTCCCACTAGTGAATTTTTCATTTCAAATACAGTACACTTCAACTCAATAATTTCCATTTGTTATTTTTGTAAAATATAATTTTTATTTCTTATTTTTAGACTCAATTAGATGTACATTTTTATTATATCTTTATTCTTTAATCATAGTTTCATGAAGATAGGTCTTAAGCTTCCAACAATTTATACATTGCTCCTAAATTCTCCAATTTGAAGGAATATAATGATACTCAATAGTCTCTTATGATCACTTATATTTTTATTTTAGTTTCTCATTTTATTTATTCCAGTGTTCTGTCTTTTTGGTAGTTCCTTTGGGTCACTGAACCCATTGACATTAGCTAATTTGAAGTTTTTCCTTATTAGAGCCAACCATTAGTCCCTTTCATAGGCAGTTTCTATTGACTGGTTTTTCACCATTTAGGTCACGTGTTTATATTTCTTTATATGTCTTGTGAAATTATTGTTAAGATATTATCTTCAGACAATGGAGTGTAGCAACTCTAATTCCATGTCTTGTTACTGATATATGTTTAGTGACTACATGGACTATTTTAATAAAGTCTCTTTCCTTCACAGGGTAAAGCGTCTGATACAGCTATTTGGAGGGCGCAGCCACCACAATATTCACATTACCTGGGCAGACTGTGCTTTTAGTAGCACTCTTCTTTTAACTGTCTCCTTTCATCTCACATGCCAGTAAAGTAATGCTCAAAATTCTCCAAGCAAGACTTCAGCAATATGTGAACCTTGAGCTCCCAGATTCTCAAGCTGGTTTTAGAAAAGGCAGAGGAACCAGAGGTCAACTTGCCAACATCCACTGGATCATTGAAGAAGCAAGAGAATTCCAGAAAAACATATATTTCTGCTTTATTGACTATGCCAAAGCCTTTGACTGTGTGGATCACAATAAACTGTGGAAAATTGTGAAAGAGATGGAAATACCAGACCACTTGACCTGCCTCTTGAGAAACCTGTATGCAGGTCAGGAAGCAACAGTTAGAACTGGACATGGAACAACAAACTGGTTCCAAATAGGAAAAGGAGTA